TTAAAAGCCTAAAAAATAGCCCCAAAAAAGTTTTAGATCCTAAACTTTTTTTAGGAACCAGTTTAGTAAAATGAGTTATTTTAGTAAGGTAAATATACGAATATATATTGAACTACTCCTAAAAATTTCAACATAATCAGACAAACCAATCACAAGACATTTATTGCAGCGTGAAAGGAACTCATATATTGAGAAAAAAAAAATAGTTAAGATTTTTAATAAAAAAAAATTTTAAATGTATATATAAAGGTTAGGATATTTTTGCAATACATTATTGAAAATACAGAAAAAAAGGAAAGTGTGAAAACTCTAATATTTAAAAATCATTTAACCAAAATAAAATTACTTAACTAATAATACAAAACTTTGTTTTTAAAAAACAACATATTATAACTACATTTAATTAAAACAATAACAAAAAACTAAGATCTAAAACATTCCTTCTTCATTTGGCTTCCATTTACTATACTAGTAAAATCTTTTTGTTGTGCACGAAACTGCATTGATTTATGAAATCTGTTTTGTATTCTTTGCTCTATGGATTCAAGCAAATTCTTTTACATCATCTTTATTTTTTCTTGGTTTGTCTTGGTACAGTACTGAGTAGCAAATGTATCTGATATAACACTTAAATATTCAAATATGTCTAATATAACAAAAATATCATCATTAGATAAAATTATTGCTGGAGCAAATTTTATTTCTAAAGTGGTACAACTAACAAAAACTTATTTAGGATAACGCTCCATACTTTTATAAAGATATGCATTGCTATCATTTCTTGATTTCTATGATGCTCATTGCATATTTTGGAAAAAACCAGATAGTTAATACATTTCTATCATTCACTGGCAATAACAGTAACAATATCATTAAATGAGGAATGACCCCTTTTTTGTTAAGATCCATCATAGTAAACAAGATCAGCTACAGCATTATTAATAAAATCAATGTGTTAAATATCGATGTTATATTTTCAAAATTCATTTGTTGCATTTTTTTACTTTTACATCAGCTTCTTTTTTTGATAAATCATATACGTTATGAACTTTATCTTCAATATAATTAAAAATATTTATATTCATTAGAGGAGGTAAATTCATTTGACCACAAAACCTTTCTAAGCCAAAATGAACTTTTCCTATCTCTTTCATGACAAAGACAAATCTATTACTAGCTTTAAATTGTAACAGTCCAGGACTTTGTATTTAAATTTATTTGCTGATATAAAAAGACTTTATTTGCTGATATAAAAAGACTTTATTTGCTGATATAAAAAGACTTCCAATTGCACGAAAAGTTGGTACAAAAAAAATTTGTCCAATCAAAATGTCCAATCAAAATGTCCAAACAAAATGTCCAATCAAAATGTCCAATCAAAATGTTCATACATTTTTATAACTGCTATGCGATAACGTTTTTTCTGATGTTGATGTCAAGTTTTTTGACTGAGTTAAATTTGTGATTTCTTATTGAGAAATCAAATGATTAATAATGCAGAATGTTGATGCTGAGAAAACTTGTTTCCTTTAAAACATATTTTTTTAAATATCCTGTTTCTTTCATTATAGGACCACCTGAACTGCTCTACCTGTCATTGTTTTTATTTTTTATATTGTTATGAAATTTGTTTTTGATTAATCATGCCACAGTTACTCAAGTTTTAAACTGTTAAAATGAGTCTTTTACTTTGCATTACTTTTACTTTTGTTTCACACTTTTTTCACTTTAACTAGTTAATACTGCATGGACATATTTTTTTTTCTTTCAAAGAATATGGCATTTAAATCTCTCTGCTTATCATAAAAATATAACTGATAATCAAAGTGCAACCAATGTGATTATTGAAACTCATAGGTTCATGCCAAGTCTAACCATATTTATGCAAACTCTTATAATCTTCTTTTAAATGACTCGTCAGATTTGTATTGTAAAAGCTGTTTATTTAAGAGTATGGCCTTTAGTTCGATATCCAACTTGGAACTTAAACCATTATTGTTATGCAAGAATATATCTACTAGTTCGTTCGACTCCAAGTAATCAAAAAAAGATATTCAAAAATCAAACTGAATTTTCCAGTCCCGTTAATTGCAAATACTCTGAGGTTTTTGATCTTAACAAATATATGCTTTCAAATTCAGAACTATATACTCATCTTAACATCGCTTCTCTACCATTCCATATTGACGAACTCTGTAGTCTTATCAGCTCTCTTTATAATTTTCCCTAAGCAAAAGGTATTACAGAATCAAAGATATATATAAACGATATAAATATAACTGATAAATACATAAACGGGTTTAATATTGATTAAAAACATTTGATGAAATTTTACATGGACATGCTCCTCACTAATTTCTCACTAACCAGCAAATTAAACTAAAATCAAAACCTTGGAGTGCATATGGAATACTTAAATCAATTTTAGTAAATAATAAACTTTATAAAAAGTTTATAAAATCAAAAAATATTTATAAAAAAATGAACTATAGTTTCTATAAAATTTTTCAAAATTTAAATTTTATAGAAGCTAAATTTGCAATGATTAAAATTTAGCGAAAAAACAACTTAACTGAGCGTTAATACAAAATTTCTTTTTAAAGATAATAATAAAAAAGTTCTTTAAAAATATAAATTTTAAAAATAAATGTTTTATTTAAGTATAAGTTTTATTTTAAAAAATTTAAATAAGATTTTCGTCATTTCTGTACTTAGATATATTGTAATGAAATTTCAGACAAAAGCTCCGTTAAGCTTAACGGAGTGATGAGAATACGGCTGCTGAACAATATTAAAAACACCAGGATGGGAATAAAAGAGATCATTAATATTAGACCTTCTACATACAATACATTTTTTAAACTTGAATTAAACGGAAATCATATTACACTGCCGTGGCTGATATATTTGATAATTTGTTTAGCACTATACATAACAATCTGCTAGGCAAAGCCATACCCTAAACGCGTATTTAATGACTTTCTTAACATTCCAAATGCTAAATCGTTTTTTATTAATCCTCTAACTGAAAATAAAACTTCTGGTCTCATTACAAACACGTTCAAAACTGAAAAAATTTTTGGTCTTAAAAGCATACCTACATTCCTTCTTAAACCTGTCCCACACATCGTTTCAAAGCCTCTTTGTACTGTTATAAATAACTTACTTAAAAATGATATTTTCCAGATATTTTTAAAGTTGTCAAAGTCATTCTAAAAATTAAAAAAGATTATCAACTAGATTTCAACAGCTCTAGAATTCAATTATATTCAAACTAGAATTCAACATAAAAAAATTCACAACTAGATTTCAACAATTACCGACCCACTTCTTGCATTCTAGCATAGGTTATCTCTTTGAGAAGGCAATACAGAATAGACTAAGCTTTGCTTGAAAAATTTGATGAGAAAAACACTGATAAGTGTAAATGATTTTACAGCAATCACTATTAGTTTTGTGCCAATCACTCCACAACTAACGTTTTCATTAGAATTACTAAATCAATTTTAAAAAAGTTATCAATAATACATATTTTCCTTGAGATATTTGTCAATTTACAGAAAGCGTTTGATACAGTAGATCATTCAATTTTTTCAAAAAAATTTGAATACTTTAGGATCAGAGGCATACCCCTTAAATGGTTTACTACATGTTTAAAAGAAAAAACACAACTTTTTGTTAATCAATGAATCAAAACCTACCAATGTAAAATGTTCTTATGGTGTTTCTCAGGGTTCAGTATTAGTACCACTATTTTTCCTTCTTTATTTTAATGAACGTTTAGTTATTAAATTTGCTACTGTTTACCACTATGCTGATGATACTAATCTAACACTAATTAATAAATATAAGGCTTTAAAAGTTGTTTATTCTCAGAATATCAATTTTAATCTTAATGCGCTCTACATAACTTTTAAAGTATTAAAACTATGTGACTATATTCAACTTTTAAACTGTCAATTTGTCTGTAACCAACAATACATTAACCTACCTTTAACTTTTGTCAATTTTTTTGATAAAAAATATCCTTGAATCATCCAATATATTTATAATACCAAATATCCTTGATATTATAAACATTTTTGATTTGATTTAATTTATGATAGTTGCAAACATTTTTATTTTGGTTGCTTAAAGAAACTTACGGCTTATGACAAAAGGAGGAGAGGAGACTTAAGTATCCAATATTATTCACAACATTTATTTTTCAAAGATTATAAATCAGCGATTCTTCGCAAAACCAATAAAAATAAAACAAAGTTAAACCAAAAACTAGTTATATATTCTTTTAAAGGGTTTTAAAACAAACCAAAAACTTTGAAGTCTAAATAACATGATAAATGTTTATCAAAGTTTAAAGAATATATTATTTGAAAGTTTGTTAATTTTTTTTTTCTTTTGTATTATTTCTTAGGAAATAAAAAACAGAAAAACTGGTATAACCAAATATATAAAAAAATTCAAAAAATTTAGTTAACGGAATTTGTTTCTACGGTAAAACCAAAAAAAAATATACCAAAAGTCAATGACGCTATATGGCATCAGTGCAAAGAAAAGTGTTAACTGACGTTTTTAAGTTGATTTTTCAGTGTTGCGATATTTTCTTAATTTTTAAATAAGAATTTTCAGACAATTAAGCTTTGATAAATTTTTGATAAAAAGGCCATTGATTTTGTATGAGAAGCCTTGTTTTATTTTTGTTTTAATGTTTTTTTTTTCGAGATCTTTTGCTTTTTTTGATATTATTACCTTTATTGCTACCAACAAACGCAAAAAAAGTTATAAGCAACTGTCTTAATTCTAATTTGAAAAGAATCTGTAAAAATATTGGCTATGAGCCAGTTAGTGTTTAAACATTTTTTTCTTTAAAAAGCTCTAATTACATAGTAGGGTTTATTGTGTTGAGCATTTAAATATATATTAGCAATATAAGTGTTATCATAAGTATTATCATTAATATAAAAATAACATATTGTTCTTCAATTGTATATTTTTTTTAGAAAGCAATTTTTATTGCAAACCTTCAATAGAGGTAACATTCAATGCAAACATATTTTTGTAAGTGATGAATAAATAAATTTTAAATCTTTTTGTTGTTTTTTATGTATTGATCAAATTTTTAGGCTTGGCCCAAGTTATATAAAATTTTTTATGTTAATATTTAAGATAAGTTATATTTAAAGGTAAGCAGTATTTTTTGACTACAAGTCTTATAACGCAAAACTCTAACTATCAGTAAATTTTTAATTATCTTGAAGTTAAATTTAAATAAAAAAAGCTTTAAAGGGTAACTTTTCAGTTTTTAATTACATATATATATTAGGGTAGCCCTTAAAAAAATTCTTTTGAGAAAAACCTGCTCCCACCCCCTAAATGTGTTATATCTACTACAAAAACACTAGGTATAATATTTTTCTGAATAAATAATATTTTAAAGGGTCCCTCAAGACCCTTCAATATATATTGAGTTCCTTATATTTTTAAAAAAAATTTCAAAAATTATATTCATTTTGGAAAAATTTTAACTGATTTATCAAAACTATCAAAAAAAAAATATAAAAAAAGCATTTTTTTCATTTTTTTTTTAATATTATGGACCCATGAAGTATTTGAGGGTCTTGAGGGACCCCTTAAAATATTTTTTATTCAAAAAAAGTTTAAACCTTGTGTTTTTGTATTAAATAGAACACATTTAAGGGGTGGGAGCAGGTTTTTCTCAAAAAAGTTGTTTTAAGGACCACCCTAATTTATAATATGTATATAATTTATAATATGTATATCTATATAAAAAGATAAATAATGTTATAAAGTTTTTATTACAACGCTTATCCACTCGCTTTTTTTACATTATAACATGTTTTTACTTAAACTCGTTTGTAGCAGATCTAAGCTTTTTAAAATACATATATATATATATATATATATATATATATATATATATATATATATATATATATATATATATATATATAGCTTTAGGTTACAATGTCAAACTATAATCTGTCGCAATATTAACAATGAGTTGAATACAAATAGTTTTGAAGTTGAACAAATATTTTCTGCAATTTAGAAAAAATAAATTGAAGTCATAAATCTCATCAGAGATTTTTAAGATGTTATAAAACACCTAAGAAGAATTATAAAAAATAACATCATTCTTTTCAGTCAAAAACAACATTTTACAAGAATATATTAATGAAGAAGCAGGCAAGACATTGCAGTTGATGTTAGATGTTAAACCTCGGTGGAATTTATTAAAAACCATGCTCAAACAACTTCTTCAAATAAAGAATCCTATAAATAAAATCTTAAAAGAAATAGGACAACAAAGAATTTCACAAGAGAAAATATTAACATTTTAAAAAAACTATTAGGTTTTTTAATAACGTTAGAAATTTCAATAGAGACGTGTTAAGTAAAAGTTTTGCAACGCTTTCGACAGCTGAACGTGTTTATAAATTTATTTTAGAAAGCTTAGATCTGCTACAAACGAGTTTAAGTAAAAACATGTTATAATGTAAAAAAAGCGAGTGGATAAGCGTTGTAATAAAAACTTTATAACATTATTTACCTTTTTAAAAACAGGCAAAATATTCCACATCTAAATATTCCACATCTAAATATTCCACATCTAAATATTCCACATCTAAATATTCCACATTCTAAATATTCCACATTCTAAATATAAATAATATTTTGATTATACTTCATTATCTCCCGCCTTAGCAGTAAAAATATTTTAAAAGGGTTCATACATCTAGTGGTAACAGTAACAGTACTAAACATAATGAGATCGAGGAAGTTGTAAAAGAAATTGCAAGATAAATTGTGTTTAAAAGTCAAAATGCTAATAATTTTTTGCAGCAATAACTGAATGTCGTGATTTTCTCCATTACAATGTTAAAGGTAAGAGCAGCATAATTATTACAATGTTGAAAAAGATTTTATGCTTTAAAAAAACACAAAAACAATATGTATTGTTTAATGTTTTAATTATTTAAAAAAATAAATAAACATTTACTGCAAAAAAGTTTTTTTTATTGCAGATCAAACTAGGACAAAAATTAGAAATTGTTTAAAACTTTCTCTTTCAATAATCTTTTCTAAAATTTTTTAAAATATTTAAAAATAAATTTAAAAAGTATAACTGCTTTATAATTTTCTAAAAAATGTAGGTTAAATTTATTTAATGCATTAAAAACATTATGAGTATTAGGTTCAATCTACAATCTTAATTTTTTTTTTAACTGTTATCGGGATATCTGGGTATATCTAAATAATTTGAATTTTAAGTATTCGATATTCGAATTGTCTTTACTGTCAGATAATTACTGTCGGATAATTACTGTCGGATAATTGGAAACTATATTTGAGATTAAACAATTAATGAGATTAACTTCACCTTTACTAATATTCCTAAATTTATCAACGCATTTACCACTTTCCTCAACATCATCATCATTATTATCAATGAATTATAATATATATATATATATATATATATATATATATATATATATATATATATATATATATATATATATATATATATATATATATATATATATATATATATATATATATATATATATATATATATATATATATATGGCCACTGTCATGAATCAGATAGCTATTAGTTCAGCATGGTATTTATGTATTCAATACTTCTATACGTTGAAATTATTTTCCACAAAAAAAAGCAAAAAAAAAAAACTGTAATCTTTTTGGGAAACAAAAGAAAAACGGGCAAATTTAAGAGTAAATTTCCCCAACGTTTGAGAATAAAACTGCATTTTTCAAACAGTAAACAGTTATTAATATAGCAAAAAAAAACAATAAGGCTCTGCTGTGAGTAAAAAACTATTTACCAAGTTAGCATGTAAATTAATTAGTTTTCATTTGGATTTGTATGAAATATCAGTTTAAAATCGAATTAGCTTACTAGTTATCTTGATTAAATTTTGTTTTTATTGTACAGCTGTTTTGTATTAAAATGCATACTCATGCTTTTAATTGTATATATAACTATAATAACTACAATAAATTTTGTTATTTATGTAATCAGTAGCAATTCATGACAAGTGGAGGCCGTTAGCGTCTAAGGCGTTAAGCCTAAGAGTCTGGAGGTCCTAAATAAAGGCCCTAAGTTGCTTTCTGTTTATCTTATAAATTTCATTTTTAAAATGTAATGCAAGTATATCAAACAAAGCTTACGAAATTACATACACAATTGGTCCTATTTAGAGCAACTTACTAGCTTAAAAAATTTTTGAAAATTTAAACTATAATTATAGCTATTTTCATTTTAAAATTAAGTGAAGAGTTTGAGGAGCAAGTAGTTAGCGAAAGCAATTACTCAGAGATTACTGAAACTGAAGGAGAAACAGTATTAAGGTTGAGACTTGGAAATATAGAATTGAAGCAAAAGGGCTTTAGACAAACATAAATAAAACAAAAGTTAAGCATAGTAAAGTCAAGAATAAGGAAGCAGAAAATACTGGGCAGTGGTCATGTGGAGTGTGTAAGAAGAGAGCTAACTCTATAGTTTGTACAACTTGTATGCAATGGTTTCATAAGAGATGTAGATATTGAAGAGATGTTCTTTAAAGATTGTTGGTTTAGAACCTAACCCTGTCGCGTGATTGATTTATAAAGAACTCATAAAAAAGCCTATAAAATTTTTCAAGAAAAAAAAAAATCTTATTAAAAATAATTTTTATTTTTATTTTTCTTTTCATTTTTTTTTATGCTCATAAAAAACTGCCTTTCTATTTTTATATTTTTAGTTGTTTCACAATTTTTTTAAAAAAATAGAGAAAAATACTTTTCGGGCAGCAGCTCACCTTGTTTCTATCATAGATCGCGGCTTAAAATAAAAATATTAATTTTCTTTTTTGTGCTTGTCACAAATACGCCTGATAATGGGTTGAAACATCTCTACTAGGTTTGTATGTTGTTACGCACTCGTTTACAGAAAAAAAACGTTTTTTTAAGTCAGGGTCTGATTTAAGGTTTAGAGCTAATTAATTAGTTAGAACATCTATACTTTTGTCTTAACCCAATATGGACCAGCCGTGACCTTAAAATTAACCCTAATCATGACACTTATCCTAAAATTTGCTCTCACATGATCTGTTTTTTTTTTTAGTTAAAGAAGGATGCGTTGTGTCAGACGCAATTTTGACAAGCCCAAAATGAAAATAAAAAAGTATTTTTAATTTACGCCACTTACGTAATAAGGGTCGTCCATAAATTGCTTGCAATACTTTGATCCCCCCTTCTTCCCCTCTCTTAACGCATCTTAATAATATATTGCCCCCCTTCCCATATTACGCAACTTTTCTTTACCTCCCCCCCCCCCCCCCACCATCTAACTTGGACTATATAAAATCAAATCGCAGAATGTGCACTGCACATAGACCGTTACAACTGTAACGGACTGTAACTGTGGTTACAGTCCGTTAACAGACTGTAACCACATCCGTTAACGGAATGTACACATCGACTAAGTGAGATTTAGTTAGACGCAGTTGATTTTACAATGAACGTGTTGATGCATCAACTAAGGGTAATGGTTTAGTCACTCTTTTAATTAAAAGGAAGTCTTATCTAAATTTACAACTTATAAAAAAGAAAAATGTCGCGTCACAAATTTGGGGACCCATATTGTATTTGGGTATAAAAATCAACAAGATTACATTTATATGTTTATAGATATTTAGCTTTCTCTCGTTTTAAATATTTTATTAAGGAGATACGAGGAATGACTATGGCTACAAACTGCAAGCGTGCAACTATAAAACTATTTTAAAATTCACATGGCGATCACGTGACAACAAGAATCACGCACAAACTAATAATAGAAAATTTGCACTTGAATGCAACGCAATATTCCCCCGGCAAAGAGCCGTCGACACAAAGCGGAAATGGTCCCTTGTCCACAAATAGTACTTTCAGCTTATTGTTAATTTTTCCTGTAGCACATTAAATCAGGTAAGGCTTATTCACAGGTCTATTAACTCTTTGATAGCTACTATTCTGAATATACCTTACTT